GACACTGGAAATTCTAGACAACCATTTGTATCTGGATCTGCTGTGCATTCCAATCTAAAACGCCGTGCAATGCCCTGGTGAATTTTATGTTGAAATAGTTCTGGATCCACCATAAATACATGACATGATGTCCTCAAAACAGTTTCATCTTCCTGCGCCAAACTTGTATCATCAATAGTTTGCATAGTAACGAGCCCAAAAAATCTTTTATCATCAGGGCATATAGCACTAAATGCTAGCTTCTCTGCAGGATACTCTGCAATCACACCAGATTTGTTATTGCAGAGTTGAATACAGTCATGCATAATCTTCATCACTACCAAGGAATGAATTTTTTGTTCTGCCCGAAGACGTCGCATACATCCACGAATAGCTTGCAAACTGTCATACTCCAGATTTGAACTTGAATAAGGAAGTTCAATTGATCCTAGGTAGCCCACAACCATGGCCACATTTAATATGCTTGCATCTAATCCAAAATACTCCTGGTTTTCCAATCCAATTCTAAAATGTGGATCATCATTCAAGGCTTTGGGTAGTTCCTCATTATAGAAATCACTAGAGTTATTATTTACATGTTCAAGTAGTGTTTCTGATTTACCTACAGCTATTTCATTCATTGGCATTTGCTTCCTGGGTGAGGTCTGTATATTACCAGCACAAGTGTTAGAATTTTCAAAGATCATGTTGAAAATCCCACCAGACTGCATTTCCTCAACAACTTTCTCTGCTCTGTTAATACCCATTCCTTTTGAATCAAGCTTTGGTTTAAGCCAACCCTTTCCATCATAAAACCCAACTTCTTCATCACTTGAGCAAGAGTCCATGTGGCCAAGCCCTTCAGCAATGACCATGTGTAAAACCCCAGAGCATTTGCCAATTAACTTCACCACATCTTCATGGGATGCCTTCTTCACGTTGATGTCATTTATTGCAAATATTTTATCTCCTGCTTTGAGTCCCACATAATCAGCAGGACTTCCTTTTAGAACACAGCTAAGAATACAGGGAGCTTGACCAGAAAGAGTAAACCCATATCCTGCTCTCCCTCTAGCAACTTCAACACTTCTTACATTGGAACCTTGCATACGCATCTGGCATTTCACCTTCTCTCCTGGCCTGTACATGCTGGCATTTGATGGAATAGGAAGCCTATGTAATCCAGTACAAATGTTTCATGGGATCCTGGAGGGGAATGTTCATTTCTTGATCGTGGTAGGTCCTAAAGGGGGAAAAAAGTTATTTAAATATAGCCACCATCCACTTTTTTGTTGCCGTTGAACTTAATGTCTACATACATGATGGTTAAGCAGGGGGGTTGACACAAACTTTCTGCATGCATTAATATCACTCACTACAGTCACAAACTTGGTGTTCATTTGTGATAAAAGCACCACTTTCCTAAGTACCTGGTATTTGCCAACTGTACTAACAGTAGGTTTCAAACTGTCTCATTTATATATTTTTCTTTATATCTTTTTCTATATACAGAATAATTGTGGCAGCACCAGAAAAGACTAGAATTTTTTCTATTGTGAAAAGAGATACCAAAAACCCCTCACTTTAAATAACAACCACTAATCTTCCTAAATGTGAAAGTTACAATATTTGACTACAGTACTATCTAATTAGCACACAATGGTTTGGATCCTGTTGCTTAGTCCAAACTAGAGTAGCCCTATTAATTCTACTACTGAATGGTGAGTACATAAGTACATCCAAATGATTCAATTGGTCCTTTCTAATTAGAGTTAACAATAGGATTTGGGCTGATTTAGAAAGTTAGAATACTGCTAATTTAGATTTCACACTGCTTTCCACTTCCTAATTCTTCATTCCAGGCAACTGCTACTCAGTAGCTGCCCCAAGAGTCCCCCAATACAGAAGTCCCCCATAAGTACAATTGAAGTGCCAAATCATCCTTGCTTCCCTGCTTAACTCAGGGAATGCAGTTCCTATGAGAGGAGGAGGTTAGAAACAGTGTACTTCTACAGTGAGAAAAACACAATACAGTTACATTTATTAAATCTGATGGACAATTGCATTTCCTGTTTACCCCATTTCTAGTTATTAAAACATTTTGAACATAATATTCTATGGGAAAGAACGTTGTAGCTATACTGTAACACAAGGTAGTACTAGCGAGTTGCTTTTTAGTTTTCTGGGTCCTTGCACAACAAATAAGATAGCTGAAGTTCTAACCCCTCATGTCAAGGGATATTATACCTGTTGCTGCTTTTTCAAAATTATTAGTTGTCTAAGAAGCACAATCCTATATTCATGTACCAGTGGAATATGATACTCTACTGGTGATCCCTACTTCGAACTGTCTGCAAAGATTTCAAATACAGCTTCATGCTATTTGTAGTCTAATCTGAAATTTATCAGATCTTGGATAAGGTACCATATCCCACTTTCTCATATCTAGGCAACTAATTGCCTATTTATTTATTTAAGGGATTGATATCCCTCCTGTCTCTCATAATGGGATTTGAGGCAGCTTACAATAATTTAAAAAAGATAGGTTGGACTATGATTCTGGAGAACAGGGTTCAAATCCCCACGCATTCATGAAAACCCACTGGGAAACCTTGGGCAAGTCACGATCTCTCAGCCTCAGAGGATAGCAATGGCAAATGCTCTCTGAAGAAACTTGCCAAGAAAACTCTGTGATAGGTTCACTTTAGGGTTGCCATGAGTTGCAAACCACAAACCCCAAACATTGATTAGAATAGTTAAAAATAATTAAATATTACTATTAATTTAAATATTAAATATTAGAACCTAAGTTTAAAACAGCATAGTTAAAAACAATAAAAAACCATCAAAGCATTAAGACAGCACACCATACTACACTAGTATATACTAATATTTTATGCTAGTAAAATTCATCCACCAAAACCCTACCTAAATAAAAATGTCTTCAGCTGCTAGCGGAAAGAAAGCAGGGAGGGGGCCTACCTGACCTCCCACGGAAGGGAGTTCCACAGTCTGGGAGCAGCCACCGAGAAGGCTCTCTCCTGAGACCTCACCAACCATGCCTACAAAGGTGGTAGGACTGAGAGAATGCCCTCCCCAGCTAATCTTAGCACTTGAGCTGTCTTGTATAGGGAGATATAGTCCTTCAGTCTGGACTCAAGCTGTTTAGGGCTTTAAAAGTCAAAAACAGCACCCTTAATTCTGCCTGGAAACAGACTGGTAGCCAGTTCAGCAATTTCAGCAGGGGAGTCACATGATCCCTGTAGCCAGCCCTAGTCAACAGCCTGACTACAGCATTTTGGACTCGCTAAAGTTTCTGAACAGTTTCCAAGGGCGGCCCCAGATAGAGCACATTACAGTAGTCCAAATGGAATGGAGTCAAGGCATGTGTCACTGTAGCCAGATCCAATTTTTCAAGGAACGGGAACAGCTGGCACATTAATTTTAACTACAAATGCATTCCTGGCCACAGCCGAACCTGGACATCCAGGCTCAGATCCGAATCCAGGAGGAAAACCAAGCTGAGCCTGAGATTTCAGGGGGATTGTAACCCCATCCAACACAGGCTGAATCCCTATTCCCTGATCTGCCTTCTGACTGACCAGGGCCACCTCTGTCTTGTGTGGATGGCATTTCAATTCATTCACCCTCATCCAGTCCAGTACTGACATTTAGTACAGAAACAGCTTCCTAGAAGTCAAATGGAAAGGAAAGATAGAGTTGGGTGTCAACAGCATACTGATGACATTGAACCCCAAATCTCCAGATGACCTCTCCCAGCAATTTCATGTAGATACTGAACAGCATGAGGAACAGAACTAAGCAGCAAGGGACACCACAGGCTAGTGGCCATTGTGTCAAATAGGCATCCCTGAGCACAACCTTCTGGATCCAACCCCTCCAAGGACTGGAGTCACTGTAAGACCGTGCCCCCAAGCCCTATCCCAGAGAGGCGACAAGAGGGTTACCGTGACTGATGGTATTGAAAGCTGCTGAGAGCACAACCAACAAGGACACACTCCCCCGTCCAGTTCCCTGCATAGGTCATCCACTAAGGCAGGGGTAGGCAACCTTTCCCCTTTAAGGGCCAAGGGACTTCAGCGCCCAGAATCCCAGGAGCTATTGGCCAACATGGGACTATTGGCCAACATGGCTGAGGCTTCTGGGAGCTGAAGTCCCTCGGCCCTTAAAGGGGAAAGGTTGCCTACCCCTGCACTAAGGCTACGAAAGCTATCTCTGTCACATAGCCAGACCTGAAGCCAAACAAATAGATTTAGATAATCCGTTTTATCGAAGAACCTCTGCCTATTGTGTAGTTATGCAAATAATTATGCAAACCAGACCCATTGAGGGTTGCATTTCTTTTTCATCTACTATGTTTCAACTTTTATACCATTTTTCTAATTAAATTTTTATTGAGTTTTTACAATAAAACACATAAAGTCTAGTATACATATACAACATAAGCATCTGAAGTAGACTAAAATCTATGAAAGCTCATGCTACAAACCTCTTTTTTTTCTTTTTTTCAAGTTAAACTCAAAGGTGCTACAAAATCTCTATACGTATTAATTCTACAGACGGCTGTATCTTTTACCACTATGGAAAGCACCAAATTTAGCTGAATGAAGTGCAAATTCAT